AGTAGAGGGGTTTTCCCTTCTTTTTATTTCAGAATCTCAGCTATTATGAGTGCTCTCGAAGAGATGATAGCCGTTAAATTACGAGAGATTTAATGTGATTAATTGAAAACAAATGGTGTTTTCGTGGACAAAAAGGCCCACTTTACACACAATGGAAGAAGTGGAACAGCAGGAAACAATGGCCCGGATATGAACGTCGCATCAGCTGAGCAAACTTTTGAAGCATGTCCGCGCTGGTTTTTTTGTGACGACGTGGGCAAACTCCGATGTTATTTTTGCAGCAAACAGTGTGGAGGGATCGTATGCAATCGTCAGTAGGATTCGCATGCCCTTGTTGAAAATTATTTCATCGAATATATTATTATAATTATATGAACGAAATGATAATATGTTATAATGATAATATGAATTATATGAACGAAAAAACCAAGACGAATATTGTCCTCAAAGGATTCGTGCACAGAAACCGCATCTTTCTATCCTCAGAATCGAAGGAAGGATCCCACGATAAGGTTAGAAGTCGAAAGAGGGGAATTATAGCAGTCGAAAGGGAGGGAACCCCGTAAGGGTGCGGGAGGATGCGCCTTTCTCACCACCATCGGTTAGCAGGACCGTACCTGCTCTGCTTGCGTCTCTGCATGTCGTCGATAGGTAATCCGCCTTATCGACGGACGTGCAGCGGTGCCGTCTGACCTGGCCTTTTGGCAACGTTAGCATCAAAGAGGGCAGCAACGGTGAGAGTCGCATTGGTGGAAAGTGACGGGTAATGAAGGGATACCGGTTTTTCTCTATCACTGCACCACTTACTTCCTCCACCTCTAATAGGCTGCCTTTTCATTGTAAACTCCGCTTTCAATCGATGGCTTGAACCAACTCCTTGTTATAATAAAGGAGAGAAGAAATTGATAAGCTGATAATCTATGGTAAATAAGAATGAGTTAGTGCGAAAGGTTGCGCTGGGTACTTTTAGCGCACTGGCACGGCAAGCGAGAAGCGCGGGTTCAAGTCCCGCCTGGGGCGAAGGTTTTGTTCGTGACCCAGCACATTGTGAAAGAACTGTGCCTGTTCTGCAGGAGAAAAAATCCGAAAAAACGGAGTAAACTACCACTCGTTCACATTCCCACCGTAGGAGTCGAAAGTTGGCGGCGGGAACACTTCCATTTGTCTCTTGGGGTGCCCTCAACAGGAAATCTTTTTAGTTTCCGTTCTGTGCCAGAAGTATGCTACTCTTTTATTGCACTGGTCTATCGCATTGAAACGCTTTGTCGCTACTCTTCGAATTCAGAATATTAGATTCAATTATTTCCTACGACGCGACACCTAGTACGTGGCCGCGCCAGCGTATACTTTGTA